TTAGTTTGAAGGTAACTCCCGGCAGACTGCTCACAAGGTCAGCCTCGCCTGGATAGGACGGCGAGGCGCCTGACACTACCGCCACGGTAACCAAAAGAATGCTCAGAAGATGCACTACTACTTTCATTGTCACGTTCTGTAGCTTACTGCTATACGATTTTGTTAATAATTTTAAGTTTATTTTTTATATGCAGCAATCAGGTCAACATTGTGTCCCCCCTCTGTCTATCAAATCAGGTCAATCCGGGTTCAGTACAGCGGCATTAGTAGTTGAGTGCCAACAGCTGCTTAAAATTTGATGACGATAAAATGTGATTGAGAAATTATGAAATCTTTGATTGCAGTAGATACTAATCTAGGTACATTTTTGTACTTTACTGATAACAAATTAATTTGAAGTGTTCTCCAGCCTGGAAGCATGTACTAATAAGGAGATTTATTAGTTATAGAGTTTGATGCACTGGTCGTAGGCATAACTTGCGCACACTCGAGTTTATAACAAAAAAAGATTTGTTGAAGTACAAAAACTATTCAAATACAGTACTGTTGCTAATGAGAGTATTGACAATTTTCAAAGCGGCCTCTCCCTTGTCCTGGGGAACCATGTGTCCGGCGCCGAAAACAGTCGTAAAGACAAGACCCTTCTCGTAGTACTTAACAAAACCGGCCGTTTCCCCTCTGGGCGTTGTCCATGGGTGGGTGCTTTTGGTGATGCGAAAGCCAAGGTCGTCGGTAAACCATTGACCGCCTAGAAAGTTGCACAACATGTCAAAGTCACCGTGGAAGATAAAGACCTTTAGTCCACCGTCGACCATACGCTTCACCTGTGACTTCATACTGGAAAACTCCATGCCGTACTGGATCAAGCCACAAGGGATCCACCTAGGTGATCGCGAATCAATGTGAAGCGCCTTCTTCACTTCAGCCTTGTTTAGGTACCTGTTCATGTACTTCATTTGAAGGTCACCACAAACTGTGCTTTGTGATGGCTCATAACTGCGGATGAGCTGCTCATCCTGGCGGTTCATTAGCTTGAGCATAGTCAACCTTCTAACGTACTCGTACGACCGTTGTGAAGTCACATAGGCAGAGGTAGAAAAGTTCTTGTGTTTAGGAATGCAGGTTTTGTATAGGTTCTGAAGGTTAAGACTGGCCGCCCCTGCATCTCTTCGCAGACTGCTGACCGCCGCTTGGCAGGAAGAATTTCTATTTTGTGAGATCTTGCAGAGCCGAACGTTGGAAGTGTGGGGACAGCACTTGGCGAGAAGATCATCGTAGTCTTCAGTGCCCACCATTCCGTGGTAATAGTAGTAGTGAAGATCAGCGTCTTCAAAGATGTATGGGTCGAGCATTCCATTGCCAATTGCCACGCCTATCAACAATAATAATAGACAGTTTTCAGTTGTGCTCTAATTAAGGCAAGAGTGCTTCGAACTTTTTAATTTTACATGTTTCTAATAGTTTTCATGCAAAACACTCATTGTACATTAAATATATACAAATTTCGGTTATTGCTTCTAAAATTATGATTTTGATTTTAAAATAATCTTGAAGACTTTATCTTTAATCGTATGGAGGGGTTTTGGAAAATACTATTTTGGGAATTTTTAATGACTGATCATAATTAAAAAGTTTGTTGACTTTAACTTTAACTCGTTGCAGAACAAAAACTAAACACGATTTTACAAAAATTCTCCATACGATTCAAGATAAAGTATTTAAGATTATTTTAGGACCAAAATCATAATTTTAAGAGCAAAAACCGAAATTTGTATAAATTAAAAGTAAAATGAGTGTTTTCAATGGAAACTATTAGAAACATGTAAAATTAAAAAATTCGAAGCACTCTTGCCTTAATGTTTACCTTTGAACTTTGAAGGAAATTTTTTCTCCAGTACTAGAACCGACAGCGTGGGAATGTAGATGCCTGAATAAAAAAGATTGTTAGTGAAAGGATAAACAGTGAATGCTAGGCAATCAAAATCTAACCGGCATAGCTCTCTCCAGTTATGTAAAAGTCATTCTCTGCAAAGTGGGGAAACTTTTTGTAGAAGGAACGCAGAGCTTTAAAGTTCAACTCGGCCACTGAGCTGTCGGTGTAATTGTAGTGACTATCAAGGCTAAAACTAAAACCAACACCGCCTGGAGATTCAAGGAAAATAATGTTTGCGCCCTGGTTCCAAGCGAACGGGTTTGAGCTAATGGAATCA